AGCTCGTACATAAGTTCGGAGACTAAATTAACCTAGTGATTAGCTTTTTATTGTGACCAAAGATTTGCTGCGGTATCTTCTTTTTTCTTTGTTCTCAATTTCTCTTTTTTTTTCTTTCTTTCTTTCTCTCTTCTCTTCTCTCTCTCTCTCTCTCTCTCTCTCTCTCTCTCTCTTCTCTCTCTCTCTCTCTCTCTCTCTCTCTCTCTCTCTCTCTCTCTCTCTCTCTCTCTCTATACACACACACACACACACACACACACACACACACACACACCACACACACACACCCCCACCATTATATAATATATAATATATATATATTATATATATTATATATAATATACTATTATATATACATGCATACACATATATAATATATTATATATATATATATACTATATATACATATATATGTAATGATATATATATATATATATATATATTATATATATATATATATATATATTATATATATATGTGTGGTATGTGTGTGTATGTTGTGTTGTGTGTGTGTGTATGTGTGTGGTGTGCGTATTATGTGTGTGTGTGATGTGCTGTGTTGTGTTTATGTGTAAGGGTGTGTAAGTGTGTGTGTGTGTAAGTGTGTGTGTGTGTGTGTGTGTGCTGAATGTGTGTGTGTGTGTGTGTGTGTGTTGTGTGTGTGTGTGTGTGTGTGTGTGTGTGTGGTGTGTGTGTGTGTAATTGTGTGTGTGTCTATGTGTCTGTGTGTGTGTATGCGTGCGTGTGTGTCTGTGCTCAATATCAAGATTTCTCTTAGCGTTTGTCACATTTCCCCCCTTTTTATCAATTTTTCTTGTTTTTGTGTCCATGTTCCTAACCACGGATCTTTCAGCGTTGATGATAATAAGGCGCAAGAACAAAAAAGCTGTTCCTTAGCAGTTCTTCCTCGCGTCTCCCAAGACACTGGGAAGACGAACGTGAAAAAGTCTGGCTCTTTTCCAACACCTTCCTCTCTCTCCCTCTCTCTTTCTCTCTGTCTCTGTTTCTGTCTGTCTATCTGTCTGTCTCTGTCTCTCTCTCCCTCTCTCTTTCTCTCACTCTCTCTGTCTCAGTCTGTCTGTCTGTCTGTCTCTGTCTCTCCCACTCTCTTTCTCTCTTCCTTCTTTTCTCTCTCTTTATCTATTCTTTTCTTTCTTTCTTTGTCTCTCATTTTTTTTTTTACTTTTTTTCTCTTTCGCTCTTGTTTTGTTGATTTTCTTTATCTCTTTTCCTTCTTTCCCCTTTTTCTTCTCCTCCAGTCGTCTGTGATTCCTTTTTACTTTTTCTATTTCCCCCCCATCTCTTCCTCCTTCTTCCCTTGCTCTTCTTTCATGTTTTTTCCCTTCGTCTCTTTTCTCTCACCCTCCTCACATTTTCTCTCCACCCATCTTTTCTTCCCTTCTTTTTCCCTCTCCCTCTCATCCCCTCCCTCCTTCCCTCCTCTCCCCCTTCCGTTTCCCTCTCTATGCCTTCCCTTTGCCATCTTCCTTCCCGTTCTCTCTCCCTTCCCCTCCTTCTCTCCCTCCCCTTCTCTCTCCTTTCCCTCCCCTTCTCTCTCCTTCCCCTTCCCCTCCTCCCTGCCTGCCCTTTGCCCATCCTCCTTCC